AAAACACCAACAACAAATAACAGGTAATAAAATTGATAAATTACTTGAAAACAGTTGCATAACTGGCTACATGTAAGCGGGAATGAAAGCTCCAACAGAATTCTCCGTACGTAACGATCGTGGACGATAATTATATGTCGGGCGTAAAAATTATTCGAGGTGCTAACGAAGGTATAGGGAATGTATAACATCACACACGGGCCGCCAAATGGAATAAATCGACGCTCCTCAAAATATATTACAAATGAACTCAAACAAAGAATGGATCAAATTGTTCAAATGGTGACACACTTTCTCGCCCTGCACAGCACGAGCCCTTGCACTCATACGCCCTCGTGTCGGACCATGCGGGGTAAAATTAAAAGGTAAGGTTGGGCAAAAGCCTTGCCCACCACAAGGGCTAAAAACTAATCGTTATTTGGACAAAGTCTTGTCTATTTTTCTGAGTGCACCACAAACATACAGTTAATAACACCGGAGTTAATTGGAAGGCTGTCCTCGATATGCAATATATGAAAATTTTTACGGAACGTTACATATTAACAAATAATAAACGCATTTGTTTTAGAATCCACGTTGAGGTCTACCTGCAACTAAATATAATTTTCAGCGTTTAATATCCAATGCATTTTATACTTTTTTTATACTTTTTGCCTAGAAAAATGCGGCGGAGAATCTTACATTGATGACTTACGACGTCAAAATGACCGTGATAACAGCTACGCGCGCTCTTTCTGCTCGTATCAATTCAATATAACTTCTATCATAAGAACAAAAAATCAACTTTTTACGGAAGTTAAACCCTTTTAACATTTTTTTTACTGGCTATCATCACTTCGGTACATGTTTCTCCGACAACGCTCCGACATGTTTCTCCGACAACGCTACAGAAGACAACCGCAGTGCGTCTTTACTTTAACATGACCATCGGAAACAACAGATTTTAGAGAGCTACGGTAATGCAACAAATGATGATGAAACTTTAACAAATTCCTATTGTCACATATAAAATGAGCTTAGAAGGCGACGAGTGAATCAAACAGTTGTCGTTTCTTCTTAAACGTGCATGCCTAATACATTCTGGCGCCTGAAACCATAGAATACAGAAGCCTAATTCAATCGCCAATTTTATGTAATCATAGAATTAGTAACGTAATTATTTATGATAATTAATAGTTAAGTGATGAACACAGAACCTTGGCAGACGTCACCGGTGAACGATCGTAGACATCAAAGCATTTATCAACGGCGAAACAAATTGCGCCCAACATAGGAAAAATTTCGAAAACTCCGTTTATTAAATAAAATCGAAGTCCATTTACGCTTTAGCGGTATAAAAGGCACAAGGAAGGGAGACCAACGTAGCAATAAGTGCCACTAAACTAAACCCACACAACAGCATCCACAAAATACCCCACCATCTCCAGATTGATTACAGATTTTGTTACCGAAGTGACACCAAAAGTTATCATAACAGTGACAAGATCTGTTGCGCACATGCGCAACTTACTTTGTTGGTATAACAAACCTTCATGATCACAAATTTAGAAGATACAGTAAAGAAGTCTCCAGTAAAAATCTAAAGATAAATACTCTGATAAATCAACGCTGAAGTATATAAATGAAGTTAAAATCAACATCTAATACTCGTAAATATTTAGTTTTTGTAACAAAAATAATATACAAAACAATTCGGTGAAAAAATTTTGGCACCGTTTCACCACCTATAGAGGTTCGGTCAAGTTTCGACAGATAGAAGAAGAACTTGAATTACTACTTGAAAAATTTTCACGTTTTTTAAGAAACAAAGTTGCGTAAAAAGTGTTTCAGTTATTTACGCAATTAACTTTGGTGTCAAGCGTTTCTATTCGTAAGCAATCAAATTTCTGAACACACGTTCAGATTCATCCAGAAATCGAATTTTACCGCAATTCTGCACACGTAACAAACGTGTTCGGGGCGTGCAAATAACGCGCGCTTTATAGCAGGGAAGGCAACAGCATGTTCAAGTTAAGTGCAACATCTTAATATTTTACGATGAGAATAAATCTATATAAAAGCGTAAAAAGATAATTTGATGAACTAGGCTACTTAGTTTGTAGTATACCCTATTTTACATATTAATGACTGTTAATATAAAGCCTTGCGTAATGCCACTGTAATATGTGTATTTGGTAAGATACGCTTAACTCTACAATCAATGACTGCGAAGAGTTGAGAAAATGTGCACATGCGCGAATGTCTCGTGCTATTCTATCATACAGTCACCGGGAAATATTTATATGAACATCAAAAAGTTAAATTTAGTGCAATGAATCCATTCAAAGTAAAATTTCCTAATAGTGGAACACAGTTACACGTTCATGACATGAACGATGACATTTATATATATTAACTGAAAGAATTGATAGGTTTCCGTACGAGCTGTGTGAGAGAACGCGTCAATAAGAAATTGTGACGAGAAAAAATTTCTAAAGAATTTGTGAGAGATGCTATTTTGGTAAAAAATACTCTTACAAATTGAAGAATCCAATCATCATTATCGTATAATTTTTAGGAATTCATAACAGACGAGAAACTTGGGTTAATCTAGGTGCCATTTGGGACTAGCAAATAATGCAATTAATTTACCGATAAAAAACATTATGAACGTCATTGTCGCGTCGCACGTTTACAGCGACGAGGTCAATAAGTGTTTAAAAATTACATTAAGACAGCGATCTCATTATGGAATTAGAAGTAATATTGTTAACACCTGAAATATTTCTTTGTCCTGCAAGTGAGATTAAACGCCTATTGACAACAGTGATGTCCGATAAGTTCAGTATAACAACGAGACTTGTATCGCTTGTTGCTAAGATGTTATGCGAGTCTACAAGACTACGCTACTGTAAAGGTCACTTAAGAATGTATAAGTATAAAGAGAACAACAATTCAAAGGCTTATACAGACTATACAATAAAATCTCAGCTAGTGTGTGACTTGTGTAAGGTCGCCTCTCAGTGGTCGAATGGTCAATATTACCAGAAACATTAAACCCAGAAAAAAAACTCTACATTTAACAATCATGCCCTCCATATTTTACCCTCTGACTGAACTAGACGTACGTTACTAAAGCGTTTCCAACGTTAAAAACATACCGGCTTTGTAGTATAAAAGTGCGCTTATAGTCTCCCATAACAAAATGTATTAATCGATTGCATAGTCCACCTTGGAACGAAGCGTAATTGCCGAGTTAGGTTAACTAGAATGGGCAGTATACATGCGAGATATGGCAACGCAACTTTCGTCAAGTTGAATTTATAAAGACAAGTGAAGATTACAGTTGATATCAATAAGGATTTCCATGGCATATAACCGAAGCTCTAACAAACAACGAGATTTCAAAACTGCACGCCGTAAGTTTATGGCAAATTTTAGAAAACAATTTTTTTTACAGGTTTCTTAAAAAACATTCTAGGCGATAAAAATTACGATAATTATAGTAAGATGTCGTTTTGTTTTAGCGTGCGACGGCAACGTGCTTCTCGACGATATGTTAGGGCAAGTAGTATAATTAACTAACTACATATTTTATTAATCGGAACAACCAATTCAACTGCGACACTGTGAACACATCGGCGGACCACAAAGTGCTTTGCGAACGAAACCTAGGAGAGGTCAAAGTTGCATTGATACTTAAGTTTAAGCGAACTTGATGGCATCTAATTGATGAACCGTTCCAAACTTTGATATATCAAATCAATAAACCGTTCCCAAATTTGAAGTATCAAACCTATGAACTGTTCCGAACTTTCAAGTATCAAATGGATGAACCTTGAAGTATCAAATGGATGAACCATTCCGAACTTTGAAGTATCAAACGGATGAACCATTCCGAACTTTGAAGTATCAAACGGATGAACCATTCCACTCAGTCAGGCCCTCTACTGGACTCAGTCAGGTCCTTTACTGGACTCAGTAGAGAGCCTCGATATCCTCACTTGAGAACTGAGAGCGAAATGACTGGAAATCTCAGCAGCTACTGAAAACGTTGAAGATTCTCAATAATACTATTTCCAACCTAGATAATGGCAACTGTCGTCAGTTAAATGGCAACCGGTGACAGGATGCCAAGAGGCAACCGGTGACAGTATGCCAAGTGGCAACCGGTGACAGGATGCCAAGTGGCAACCAGTGACAGTATGCCAAGTGGCAACCGGTGACAGTATGCCAAGTGGCAATCAGTGACAGGATGCCAAGTGGCAACCAGTGACAGGATGCCAAGTGGCAACCGGTGACAGTATGCAAAGTGGCAACCGGTGACAGGATGCCAAGTGGCAACCGGTGACAGGATGCCAAGTGGTAACCAGTGACAGGATGACAAGTGGCAACCGGTGACAGTAGGTGACAGGATGCCAGCGGCAACCGGTGACACGATGCCAAGTGGCAACCGGTGACAGGATGCCAAGCGGCAACCGGTGACAGGATGCCAAGTGGCAACCAGTGACAGGATGCCAAGCGGCAACCGGTGACAGGATGCCAAGTGGCAACCGGCGACAGTATGCCAAGTGGCAACCGGTGACAGTATGCCAAGTGGCAAACGAGATTATCTCTCCTCAGTCGCAACTCAATTTTAAAAAACTTAAGAGAATTCATTCTTAGTTAGAGGAAAGCGGCACGGAATGCAGGGGCAAAACGTGTACAAATCTAGTGAAAGTGAAAAATTTCACTATGAAAGTAGTGAAATATTTGTAATGCTATGCACTAATATTAAGTAGGTTTAACAATGTTGATGAAGGTAAAAAGATCATATAGGAATTAACACGAATCTATAGGTTTTACAATCTCAAAAATCTTAGCCTAAAGAGATAAGTGTATTACTCGTAGCATATTAAAAGCTATAGTAAAGTTTTCACACTTAGGAAATAACAATAAAAAAGCTTAAGGAGTTATTAGGGAAAAATTCTACAACGACTCAAAGATTTACTGCATGATAATCGAGCGTAAAAAATTTGACGTTAGGTGTGTTTTTTAGATTCCACTGGAAGAAAAGTTGCTTCATCCGCTGGTGCTGCGCGCACGTCTTCTTTGGTACAGCACCTGCTGCAACTGCTGCTGAGGGAAGCGTACAACGAACCACAGCACATCCTCCTCTCCTCCTCTAGTTGCTCCATCTCCACCTGTTCTTCCACTTCCACCTGCTCCTTCTTCTCCAACTGCCCCTCCTTTTGCCCATCGTATATCTCATTTCCAGATGCAGCAAGTATAACCTGCGTAGTCCCACGGCACGTATTCCTGCACTCAGTCAAGTGCTCCTGTTCCTCCACCTGTTCGGTCAATTCTTGTTGTTCCTCCTTTGGTTCATCTTCTCGCTGCCCAAATTCCTCTCTTTCAAGTGTGGCACGAGAGACTTGCGTAAAATGCAAGTCACGTTCGTCAGTGTGGCAACGGTCCTTCAAGTCACCAATAGCCTTTCCGCAGCGAGCGTCAACTTGGTAGGCTCTGTCAACCGGGGCTGCGTCAACTTGATAGTCTCTATCAACCGGGGTGGCCTCAACTTGGTAGGCTCTGTCAACCGGGGCTGTCTCAACTTCGTAGGCTCTGTCAACCGGGCCTGCATCAACTTGATAGGCTCTGTCAACCGCGGCTGCCTCAACTTGGTAGCCTCTGTCAACAGGGGTTGCATCAACTTGATAGGCCTTGTCACCCGCGGCTGCCTCAACTTGATAGGCCTTGTCACCCGCGGCTGCCTCAACTTGATAGGCCTTGTCACCCAAGGTCTCAAATGTCTCTGTTACAGGTACTCCAGAAGTCTGGAGCGACACACTACTTGTGTTGTAAGTGTACTGACTCGAACCAGTTTCGTGGTCGCATAACATCTCATTGTTGTGGTCTCTACCACTCATTTCTTCCTTGCCACGGTCATGTTTGAATTCGTCAGTGAGACGTTGAAGATGAACAGTGAGTTGCTGAGTCACCTTCTCTATGGGGTCGCCAGCTGTAGGCACGTAACTCATATCTTTGTTACCACCATGAATATTACCAAGGACTTCATCACTGACGGGAGAGATCAGTCCCGCCGGGGAGACGTAAGAGTTCTTATTATTACCCAGGTGATTGACGATGTTTTCTACGAGGGAAATAGCTGAATCTACGAGGGAAATGGACTCACCGCCATGACATGAATCTTGCGTAGAACGTGGTGAGTTCAACTCTGAGTTCATTGACACTGGGTAACATGGCGAGGTTATTTGATTGCTTTCGACCGTTTCATTTACTAAATGAGGCAAGTGACTTTTAGGTGAGAAGGAATTAGTGGCACCACAGTTGGATTTGGAAGAATGCCCGTGCAATAACTCTTCGGGAGCCGCACGTAGCTGAGTAGGTAGAGGAATTTTAGGACCAGTATCGAGAATTTCACTATTTGGTCTGACATTTTCCTGCTTAACAGCCACGTTATCAATGCCTGGACTAACAGAGGCACGTGAATGAATTGCTTCCTCCCCTGGCACACAACCAAAGTAATCCACACGCTGGGGGGACAGTGGGCTATCCACGGGGTCTGATGGTTCTTGTTTTGGTTCCTTAAGCTCGCTAGAAAGTTCTTCTTGATCGTTGAATGATTCTTTAAGGTCGTTGGATGGTTCTTCGATGTAAGATCTGTCCTCGCCCTCCTCAGCATCATCCATGCTGTTACTGTCCTCTTCAGTAGACTCTACAGTGCCTCTGTCTCTCATGAAATACTTAGATTCTCCTAAAATTTTGATCTTGAGGCTTTTGATGGGATGGCGTTTCTTCTTGTGCGCTTTGAGGCAGCGCTTCAGACGGAAACTCGAGGGACACTCGTCGCACCTCAGCTTCTTTTTCACCGAATTGTGCATGCGTTGGACGTGCGCTTTGAGGTTGGTACGCTGGCTGAACGCTGCCCCGCACGCTTCGCATACGTGGTTGCGAGCTCCCGCGTGCAGTTTCATGTGGATTTTCAGGTTACTCATCATGGTGAACTTGGCGGCGCACTCAACGCACGAGAACGGCTTCATTGCCGTCAAGTTCTTCTTGCGACCGCGACGACTGGCACCGGTGAAAGAACCATCAGGATTGTGAACTCGGTTCTTGTGAGCCTTCAGGTTTGATTTTTGAGTGAAGGCTTTGTCGCACATCTCACATTTGTGTGGTCGCTCTCCTGTGTGTGTCACCTGATGGGTCTTGAGGTTAGCAACCTGCCTGAAGGCAGCTTCACACAAAGTACATTTGTGAGGTCGTTCATCAGAGTGGATCTTCTGGTGCGTTTTGAGGGTGGACAGTTGAGTAAAACAGTGCTTGCATACCGGACATTCGTACGGACGTTCCCCCGTGTGGATGCGGCGATGAGCACGCAGGTTGCCTTGCTGGGTGAACTTTGATCCGCACTCGTCACAAGTGAAGGGCTTCTCGCCTGTGTGTCGCCACATGTGGTTTTTAAGCTGCGTGCTGTTCTTGAAAACGCGCTCGCACTGCTTGCACTTGTGCACTATGGGCGCGCGGGGAGGCTTCGGCTCCTTTGGTTTCTTAGGTCTTGGAGGTCTGGAGGCAGCCTGAGTAGATACTGGGGGTCCCAGTAGGTGGCCAGGTCCAGCCTGCTGGTCAACAATGGCGCATGAGTCCATGTACCGAGGTGTGCACTTCACATCGACGGTGTTGAAAGCGAATTTGGCGCCATCAGGACTATACTTGACCGACTCAGGACTGTACTTGCTGGTATCGTAAGTATACTTGACAGTCCCACCCATTATACCAGGGGAACAAGAGGAGTCAGGCACCGAATCGTAATGACCTGACATAGGCGGCAGAGGATGATTCTGACGAAGGTGATGAGGCACTAAAGGGGCGGGGCTGATAGCTTCAAGAGGCATTTCATGTCCCCTCAAATATGCCTGAGTTGGAGCACACTCTGCGTTGATTGTAGCTTCGTTAGGGGAATCTGACTGCATAAAATGAACCTCAGAACTGCCACTCACAATTCGGTGAGGAGGAACAAGTGAATCTATGATCCTCAGAGCGTGGTCCGGATTCTGCAAGTCCCTGAAGTGGCTGTCATCATGTCGCTGCTGCAGCATGTAAACGTCATTCTGGGACGAAGAAACACTGAAGGCCTGTGACCCCAGAGGGCGGCGGAAGTGCACTTCATCAGCAGCTCGCTGCTGCTGAGCAGCAAGCAGTTCAGGGACGTGGTCAGGTAAGCTTACAGAATTGAAACCAACATCCGGCGCTCGAAGCGACGATGAATAGTTGTTCAAGACGGACGTGACTGGCGTGAATAAGTTGTTGCTATTGAACTGGGTTGATGCAGGACGATCTTGGGGCACAAATGACACCCTAGGGGCTGCGAAGTGTGGGGTTCTCGGCCCAGGCACATTTGGGGAAGATCGGTCAGGAAGCTGTGAGGACGTGTAGTGTAATGCCATAGGAGAGGCTGGAGGGTGACCGAGCCCTGAAGAGGACATCTGTGGGGGATAGCTGGTATCCATCGCACTCATGGCTGACTCAGTGGTAGAGTTATTCATGAGTCCGGTAGCTTCGATGGTAGCGTTACTCATGAGAGGTATGGGTGATTGTAGCTGGCGATTGTTATTGGTATTAATGGGTGATTCTGGTTCATGGCAGCTCATGGCGGGCAGGGGTGATTCTCGGTGGTGATTCATCGAGGCCAGAGATGACTGAGTATAAAGAGACAATGGATTATGTTCACGGTGATGGCCAGTGGATAGAGAGAAGGGGACCCTGTCCAAAGTTGAGGGGATTAAGGGTCGGTTCTGATGGGGTTCGCTAAGACATAGGTTCTCAGGGACGCATTGAGCTGTACGTGGCTCATTGCACGAACTACGAACCTCGCACTGGATGACATCATTGACTGAGCACACAACCTCCTTCTTCCTGAAGCCTTCGATAGATTCTTCTCTCTCTGCTGCACAACACGACGATCCCGGGAAGTCAGACGCACGCGTATGATCTCCCTCTCGTGCGCATTCTTGTCCCACCGGAGGGAAATATGCGCGTAAGCTCTCCTGCACCATGCGCTGCGCTTCGATGTTGGATCGCGCGTGTGAATCTTGTGCGTAACGCAGAGTGGGACTTTGTACGATGAGTCTTGTATACCCAAGGTTCGTGTCGGCAGATTGAACGTTCGTATCTGCAGGATGAACGTTCGAGTCTGCCGGATGAACGTTTGTGGCTGCAGCATGAACGATCATGTCTTCCCGTGGGCGCAAATTAGGTGATAGCCTCGGCCAGTTTTTGAGCGCAGCAAACGAAGATTCATCGGCAAGAGGCTGCGTAGACAGAGCACGAGGCGCATGGCCTTCGCCCCTGGGCACCGATTTGGCGTAGGTACGGCAGTATTGATCATCGTTCTGCAGAGTTTCACTGGATTCTTGGTGATTGCCTGAGGTTTCAAACTTCACGATTCCGGAGTCATTAAAATGATGAGTTTCATCCATGCTTCTCAAATGGGAGCCTAAAGCTTGGTTCTCGGGAGAATCCTGTTCTCGTTTTGGCTGATCTTCATGAAGCTCTTGACGAGGCTGGTGCTGGTGTAGGGTTAGCTGTCGTCTGTCATTATACCGGTAATTTTCTGTCGAACTTCCCCTCACGTGATGAGGTTCGACAGCGCTGCGATGCAGATTCTTGCCGTAATCATGCAGCCCCGTGGACCGAAGATCCTCTCCCAGCTGGTCCTCGGTCTCCTCGGTATACCGCGTCGATAAAAGCATAGCGTCTTTGGGACTAGCATAATATTTCTTGTCGTCGCTGCGGTAGGAATAATCAAAGTCATGTTGCATGCCGCCATAATTAACGGGACATGTGGCGCTACTCATCACGCGGTGGTGAGAAGATGAAGTTTCAACACCGCTATCTTGGCAACCAAACCTGGCGCGGTCGTCATTGACGGTAGTATTACTATGAGTGCCTTCCCTGACACGTTGGTGGGGGGCAGCGCTCCCCGTTGGCACCTGCAACAAAAAGGGGGGTTTAGTCTGGGGGGTTCAGGAGAGGGGGTTTCAAAGAGGGGGTTCAGTCTGGATGGGTTTCAAAGAGGGGGGTTCAGTCAGGAGCAATGAAGATCATTTATCATTTAGATAAGAAAGGTATGATCTTCATCTTTCTTTCTATCTTTCTTATCATTTTAGATAAGAAAGGTGATGTAACTTTCTCTTTTACTTAATAATATTTCTTGGATTAAGCGAAGTTATACCACTGCGATATTGCTTAGGTACTGCTTTACTTAATGGACTCTTGTAGAGTTCTATTATATTGCAACATTACTAGATTTTTTACTCAATATAATAGTATAATGATCGAGTTACATTACAATAATAGTTTTTTATTTAATAATCTTAGAAAGGTTCGCTCACACTTTTAAATTGAGACTCTTTTTAATTAATGACGCATTAGGCACGCGCGTCCGGTACCCGTTAAACTGCGTGCGTTGGCGGTTAATCCGCGCATGGTGGCCATTAATTTGCTTAGAGTTACTTAAAGCGTTCGCCAGGCTATGGCGTAACAGTGAAGCACAATAGCAAGTATTTATTTAAATTAAACATTCAATTACTGATTGAATGACATTGATGGATCCTGCGTTAAACACTTGAAATGAAATAATTCAGAAATAATAAGTGAGTACTCATATTGTTGGAAAGTGACAGGCAAGTAAATGATATCTTATGGTTATTTATGAATGAAATTCATGAAAGTAAACAAATTTCTTAAACATTTCCATTACAATATTTTGATACACACATATAAGTTAAAACCAAAACGTATGTTAATGCCCTTCTTATACCCCACGATTGTACGACCCCACGACGATGATGGTATAACAATCGTCAAGTTACGATGACATCATTATTAACAATCGTCAAGTTACGATGCCATCATTATTAACAATCGTCAAGTTACGATGCCATCATTATTAACAATCGTCAAGTTAAGATGACATTATTCATTAATGCGTGAATGTCATCGGCACACACAGCGTCCTTAAGAAGCTTTATTAAAGATGCACAAATAAGTTAACTAAGAAACAAATTAATTTAACAAATAGAAACTTACTAAATGTTGTAATTAAGAGGGTATTTCTCACCGTTATTTCCTATGTTCTGACATGATGCAAATCAGATCGCTAGTTGCCGTGGTAAGCTAGAGTTCGTACTTAGGGAGAGAAAAAGTTCAATGGACAGGTAGTTTATTAGGGTTAAGAAAGTACATTAGCATTATCAGCTGTAAGGTTATGTACAAAGATCTAAGCAATTTAATTACACTAATTAGAGAGGACAATCTTCCCACTGGTCTTGCAGGTAATATGAACTAACGAACATAGCGATTTATATAATAATGAACGGCAAATGTGTAGTGATGCCATAGTGCACCAGAACAGGCAATGCCTCTACCACAAGCAAACAGAAGGCAGTCTCGTAAACCTTCACTAAGTTGTAAACCCGAAAATAAAATTCGCTTTTTGTAAACACAAACAAGTCAAGTTTCTGACCAACACATGAGGAGATGTATGGTTTAAACCAAATTACTAGTACAATTTGTATTGAACCCATATTTACGCTTTTTAGCTCAGTTACTTGATTGCAGTTCTCCAGCAGAATTTAAATTTTAAAATTTATTTCTAAGGCTTCGGGTGAGCGGGTAACGCACAACCTAGCCTCGGCATAACTGATACTTGGTTAGAGTACTTCACTGTTTTAACCAATTAGCTGTACATTCATTTTGCATCTAAAATCGACAGTTTCATACTTGCATGAAGTGGTCGTCTCAACAACTTCCATGTCCTTCTCAACACATTTTTGCACATCCAGTTACGTGTTCTGAATAATTCGTGTCTCCTTACGTAGTTTTAGGAAATCTTTGCTTTTACTGACGCGAAGATGATTCAGCGTATTTACATCATTAGCTATCAACAAGATTTCATTCCATTATAAAAAAAATTCTGCAAGTGCTATACATGAAAACATAACACGAAAATATAACATTACTGTCACCTGAGAATAGCTCTTACAAGGTTAGCAGCCATACAACATGCAGAACTCAAGCCACCCAACATGACGTGAATAAGGTAATCCTTCAACCAGGACTGTGTTAATAGAAATGTTACGAGTGGAGCAGGAATTGTTGGGCGATCGAGCAGGAATCATTAAGGGGGAGCGGGAATTTTATAGAGCGAAACAGGAATTATTACGATTGAAGCAGGAATTATCAGGAGACATATAATAATAATTATCAGGGGGTGTAGATAAAGTTATTACGAGTGGAACAAGAATTATTATGAGTGGAGCAGGAATTATGATGGTGGAGCAGGTGTGGCAACTAACCCGAATATCATTCTCTAAAATTGTGACGAAAATGAAGCGAGATCGCGTTCACCATGAAGCAAGATCGTGTTCACCATGAAGCAAGATCGTGTTCACAACGAACCATTTACAGCAGCATATTGGGATCACCGCACGGCGATATACTCGCGTAGCCACAAGCATTGAGCACAACACTTGCAGGTATCGCACTTAGCAACCTAAATAAATACAACAACTAATAAGGCTTCCGATCCGTTCAAACGTATCATCATAAAAATATTCAACCTAGAACAAATAAATATTAAAAGTAGTAGTAGAAGTAGTAGGTGGAGGAGCAGGATTGGTAGTATAGTAGTAATATAGTATGCTAGCGCTTCAGCCCAGAGGTCAGATTAAAATCGCCAGCAAGGCGGAAGGTCTCAATTATTCAAAATCTCAAATTAATCATCACCCACAAGGGGCGGAGGGTCTCAAATGTGCAGCCCGCTGAAGCTGGCTCGAAAGAAGCAGCGTTAGCATCTCAAAGAGACGAAGTGACAAGGAGGGACAGGTGAAAAGAGGGACGTCGGCCGCCCGCACGAGAGAGACAGAGAAGGGAAATGTAAGGAATCCTACCTACATAATAACTTAACCCTACTACTGAAGTCCGCATTAAGACACCGAGAGCTCAGCGGTGGGGCGCTTAATAGCAATGCCCCCTAGGAACACGAAATCCCATGGTACTTCTGGCGAGAATAACACGTCAGAAGTCCCTCCTGATAGTATAAATATTAAAAATATTCTAATAACCTTGGGGCTGAATCGAACAGTCACCAGAAATGACGCTTCGGAATCGCTTTTCAAGATTTGTGTACGGTGGAATTTCTAAACCAAAACGTACACTGCCAAGTTAAAAACTCGGTAAAAATAATATATTTATGGATTAAAATAAATTATTTATTACTTTTAAAATGTGCTGTGGGCTACAAAGGCGAGTACACGCCATTTTAAGCTTGTATATTCATACTGAAAACTGGAACGAAAGTCGTTTCTTTCAAGTCGACATTCGAAGGAGGTTTACAGTTTCTATTTTCTTAAGGCAGCTGGGAAGAATATCATGAACATTGATTTTAAAAACTGTTAAATTGTTTTTAAAATGAGTGGGATCCACGAGCATGATTGGACATAATTTGACTCAGAATTTAGGAATATAAAATTAATGCTTAACATAAAAACTGTTTCGAGCAACTAGTAATGAAAATCAACGAATAACTACGAAATAGTGAAATTTACTTAGATCAGTCATTATTACGAGGCAACACGAGATTTTAGCCGTGACGTATTGCGTTGCAAACTCTCGTTGTGTGCCCACTGAACGCGTATGGTTTCTCCGTCAACATAATCTCAAGAAATTTAATTTAAGCAATCGTTCTGGTAGATAAAATTAGTAGAGATGGTAATACATTTACCTTAATTAAAGGTAAATGTTTTGAGCATTAAATTCATTTGAAATTCTGGGTTCAAATTAATTGAAATCTTCGAAGTGATGAAAAACGACAGAATGAGATCAATTTAATCTAGCGAACGAAAAAATTAAGACTTGCAGTAATATTATAATATCCATGTGTTTCCGGATACAAAGCGAAAAATTAATATTTTGAAGATTTACTTTTTTCGTTCATGTCAGTCGTGAGATCCTGACATTGAGAAGCTTCATCGTATGAGGGTAGCCCTCTAGAGGCGGTCTTCACGTCAGAGTTAACTCCCTGCTGGCTGCTCTGGGGAGCAGGTTTTGCATTTAGTCCGTAAAACCCGAGTTTCCTAGCATGTGCCAACGGCGGTTTATTAGATTCAACTTTAGGTTGTGGATGTGATGAACCTGAATTCATTGTTATCAAAGACTCCTGTGAAATGGCTGATAAGTTAGGGCACTGAGATTCTAGGTTAAAAAGAGGTAAACTCCTCTGTAGTTCGTCAGAATCAACTCTTCGACGTGGATCCTCGTGGCATAGCTCAAGGGAATTGGCAGTGTGAGGTAATGAACCATTTGCAGATTGACAATTATTCATGCGAGGCTGATATTTCGAATCATCTTGAATGTATTGAGGCAAACCATGAGAAGTTGACATTGAAGATGCCTGGGGAACTCTTGCCGTACGTGAGAAGCTGCTGCTGCTGCTGATGCTAGCATTTGCGTTGGAAGACTGAGTTGAACAACTTGTAGCACACGTATTGCCTTTATTAGTAGGAAACATTTCATTGTTATCCGCCTGACAAGTGTTGTTGGAAAGGGTCTCGGTTTCGTGAGACCTCATATTTCCGGTTAAATTATGGGCAGGATTGGAAGATTCTTGTATCTGAACGATTGGTTCATCTATGTTCAGCGACGAAGCGCTGGGACTAGTCTCAGTAGGACATCGTAAGTTCAGGGTATCTTGGTTCTTAACACGAGGTGAAGAACTATTACTAAATATAAACGAGTGTTTCTTCTGCATGTGAGCTTTCAGGTTATTCTTTTGCTTGAATGCCAGGTTACATTCAGGACATTGATGAGGACGATCAGAACAATGGGTGATCATGTGTGATTTTAAATTAGATTTCTGAGCAAAGGCGGAACCGCATTCAGTACAAGAAAATGGTTTTTCTCCAGTATGAATCCGCATGTGGATTGTTAAGTTCGACATCATAGAAAACTTGGCCCCACACTCGGGGCAAACGCAGTTCTTAAGCACGTTCAGAACTTTCTTCCTACCCGCACTGTAGCCGCCGCTTGGGTACTGCACTTGATGAAGCTTTACTCGGTGAGATTTGAGGTTGGACTTTTGAGCAAAAGCAGAGCCACAAATGTCGCACGCGAAAGGCTTTTCTCCTGTATGTGTTTTTTCATGAGTCTTGAGATTGGATAGCTGCCTAAACTTGGCGCCACATCTCTCACACGGGAAAGGCCTTTCATTCGAGTGAATTCTCTTATGATTTTTCAAATGTGAAGATTGAACAAAATCGGCACCACAATCCTCGCATTTGAAAGGCCGTTCACCCGTGTGGATAAGCTTGTGACTCTTCAAATTGGACATTTGAGAAAATCTAGTGTCACAAATGTCGCATTGATAAGGCTTTTCTCCGGTATGTGTCTTCTGATGAGTTCTGAGGTTCGATATCTGGGTAAATGTTGCACCGCAGTCCAGACAATTGAACGGTCTCTCGCCAGTGTGGATTCTCTGATGAGTCTTGAGATTAGAGTGCTGAGTGAAGGTGGAGTGGCAGACATTACAGGTGTAAGGTTTTTGCCCGGTGTGCCGCCAGTTATGGTTCTTCAACTGAGTACTGCTCTTGAAAACAAGATCGCAGTCATAGCACTTGAAGAACTTTTGCTGTCTATTTCCATTTGATCTTAAATCATCTGCATCACTGGGCGTAGAGAGATCAGAGCCATCATTATTCTCATTGCTTAATACTTTATGGTGATAAGTGTCTTGTAAATCTTGAGGCAAAGTGTCAATAAAGTCCTTGCTCTCTGTCTCATCTTGCACATCTTCGTCAATGTTTTCATTGCAAACTTTCGACTTTTCAGAGTTGCCGTGGACTTTTTGATCGTAAGCGTATGGAAACCCGTACACTTGCTTATTGGTTACAGCCATGTCACGCTTCGCAGACAATCCATCGCTCATGGCTGTGCTCCCAACCTGGGTTTCTACCGCACCAGCCTCAACCCAACCACGCGTCGCGTCTACATTGTGATGCGAACTCGCGTATCCAGGATGGTAATTTTTGCTATTTGATTGCTTGTTCATAGTAGACTTGAGACGTTTCGACTGATCATTTTCTGAAGGTTCCAAATGTTGAATTTGTTGGATTTGTGTGTGGTGAATGGTTCCAGAAAAGTCCTGTATAATATCAACGGAGTGAGTCATGTGCGAAAGGCTGTGTCTGTCCAGCTTCTGCTCCTGAACTGAAGCCAAGTTTGTACCTCTTCTTTCATCGTTATAATGAGCATTGCGACTACTCACGTTTTTACATGCAGTGGAAACTTGACCCAAGCAAGAATTGCTATGATCATGAGTGACAACTGAAGCAATTGGTGAAGATTTTCTCATGAGATCCCCGCCAACGTTCATATGGGCAAGTGCAGGCGATGTCAAAGTTTTGTTGCCTAGTGAAGTCAAATCAAGTTCAACACCGGGACAAAAACTTGGATGGTAATTTTTAGAATTAGCAGCATATATGGAGGAATTCATCCCAGAATTTTGATGTTGAATGTCTCTATAACTGGCTTCAGTGATGGCATTTTGTGTAAGTAAAATAGGAGTCATGGTTTGGGAAACAATTGGAATTGAATTAAAGTTTGAAGGTATAAACTGCCGGGAAATTCCGCTGGATGCAGCCGAAGAAACCGCAAGGGTAGCTGTGATGTCGCGCAGGTGAGATGACACATTCTGCTGATGATGTGCAATAGAACTGGCACCATAATCTACGGTAGACGCCAGTGTGTACTCTACATGTGGCTGATGAGTAGACTCTGAGGTAGACTGAGCACGCGGACCACGCAAAATGTCAGGCAAAAGTTTCATGCCGGGCGTCATTAAGTTATAGGATCCGAGACCAGCAACAGCATCCACAAGTAAAGGATTGGCGATCGACATGACAGAAGAAAAAGCCGTGGCATGGCTTTGAGATGCCGTTGACTCGCCATGGTTTGTATTCATCATGTTGTAGCTGCCGCCGCTTGAGCCCACGCTGTTAGAAGCGATCTTTTCGTTCTGAAATAGAAAAGAAAAGTAATTTTAATAAAAGAACGAAGATAACGTCATTATGATATAGCCCATGTTATGTATAGACATTATACGCAAATAACTGTAAAAAAATTTCCAAGTATTTAACAGCACTCCAGCAGAAAAGTTTGCTTCAAGAAGCAATATCTGTTAGAACCTCCAACGTACAACTCGAGTTCACTTTAATAAAATACGTTCACCGAGTTATTGCTTCTTGAAACAGACCCTCCATAATATCGAAACAGTATAAATAATTCGAGTAATGAAGCTTACCTTTGCATATCAAGACGAGTGAGAAGTTTGCTACGAGTAGGATTGTAACACACGTGAAGCAGCAACGTCTATAACGGGGTCCGTACGAAATTTATAAATCTTCACTTCAATCAAATAATAAATAGAACGGTAGCACAAGGGTCTGTTTCACAGAAGCTTCAACTCAGGCTCACTGAACACCCACTGAATATGTCAAACTACAGCACGATCCGAGCCAAGAATGCAGAGGTCTTTTGGAGAACCACGAATAACGCGTTTCGTTAACAAATAAACAATTAAAGAAGGTTTTCACTCAGAGGAGAGTGAAGAGCAATGCTTTTCGAAAGCATGGAAAAAAACTCAACATTATTGTTATGAACAGTTCTGTCTGCGCTCGCGTATTTACTTGCGTCGCCCTCAAATTGCTCTAATATCACTTTAACGCTCACGTCATAAATCCCCTAGGTATTCAATATAAAAAACAACAATTAGAAACATTTTCAAGTATTACAAGACCAGCACCATCAAATTGTATTCTTTAACCGATGATTCAGCAACTGTGAGTTTCATCGAAAATGAGGTGAATTTTTTGGCAATGTAATTTACAATTAAATTCTAGGTGATTGGTCGTTCACTGAGAAGCCCAGCAATGCTGTTAGCTCAGCACTAACCTATTCACAGCCGTGCTCTCAAACTGGTGATCATGAACCTTAATAAATCCCGCTTTTGAGAGCACTATAGAGAGTAATGTTCATGGTTACTTATGCAAAATATATACTTTCAACTCTGATAATGTAGCTCAATTTATTTAATCAGAGCATAATTTTAAAAAATTGTGTTAGTGGGCTAAGCTCCTCCTTGGCCATTTGATGAACACAGATGTGACAATGTTGCTGGTGTGTTACTAATATCCAAGTCAAAAATTGATGCAATAAACAATCTCTATAAATAAATTTTGTAATCAACAACCAATCCTGAAGGCAAAATTCATCAATATTTACTAAAAATTGTATTGTCCCATTACCAATCTTGAAGGCAATTATGCAAACTAATTACTAATCTTAAATGTAACTTCTCGTGACCACAATCAAACTTCAAACCAAATTTTGTTATCTAATTACTGATCTTTGAGTCAAATTTCCTTACCACGTCAACCTGTATTGCAAATTTTATGCTCTATTACTAATTTAAATCCTATTCCAAGCTTGAGCCTGAATCAATCAATCCAAGCATTGATTTTCAATATAGAGCTTCCATATTATAAGTCAGGTCCTCCAACATGAACATAAATGATAGGCAACACAACAGAGCAGAGAGTGGCTAAACATGCACAACTAAGTCTATCTTACATGAATAAAATATCTGCTTCCACAAATCATCCTAAGCCTGATCATTATCATCAGCAACATTAAAATCACATTCCACATCACATACTTCTCCTATTTTCCGTATGACATCAAATCTGGACCTTGACAAAGAAAAGTAAAAACCTTCATTGTAGAAATCAATATTAAAGAGTTCAAGGATCCATTTCCATTTGAAACTTGAAATTTGTGTACAGAGAGGAAAAGGAAGGGAGTATTAACAAAGAGCTGCACATCAAAATATAAATAACAGTTTATGAAGAAAAATTTGTAATATATTTCTGAAATGGACAGCATTGGCTTGAGAACAGCAGAATGTGAAGCTCAATGAGTTAACTTGAGCCTATTTTCTGAACATCTTGTCTCACAGAATATTTTAAAGCCACTGTATAAACAGTAAGCTATAGAATTTTGTACAAAGACAGCCAAAATTATTTGCATTTTATTTAATTTATAGTTCAAAATATAAAAGGAACTGAGCAGCAACAGGGACATAAAAATTTACAAAAATATAATCACAATCTAAAAATGCATCACATTTGTTGCTTGCCTCAAGAATAATTATTTATTTTGCATGATAGAAATCTTAATGTCAAAATGAATATTTAGCACAGGCATCCCAGTATAACAAAGAATCCAACATGTGTTTGCTTGACCACAAAAAAAATTAATATCTTTGCATTTCTGTCTGCATGCAAAAATTTTAGAAATGATCACAATTAAAAGCCAAGCATTACCACTGGAACCACAAAAAAAAATATTGGTAGAAAAATTCACAAACTTTTATCAGACTGCAACCATACTCATGACTTGCACATGTTCAATACCATAATAAATATTTTCATGTATAAACTTCTTCCAGATTATTCACAGTCTTCCCATTTTTTAAAAAATTATGTTTAATGTTCAATTACCATTAAACATTTGACATCCAGTGAATATAAGGTTTGAATCCCATTATCCCAGTGCCCTTGAATCATCACAACTAATTTATGCAGCCAGCTTTCTGAATTTAAGTATTGCAAAATAGATGCATAAATAATACAATAAACAAATAAGGCAATAAACAAATAAGACAATAAATAAATAAGACAATGAATACACAAGATAATAAATAAATAAGAAAATTTAAACAAATAAGACAATAAACAAATAAGATGCTAAATATTTAAGACTGACCTGCGTCAAGTCAGGGTCCTGCATGCTGGTGTCAGGGAGGTGCTGGAACATCCTGTAGAGGGCATCACAGGGACAGGTCGTGCCCCATGTTCTGCGCAGGCTTAGACGGCACAGCTCATGCCCCTGAGTGATGCTGCTGCTGCTGGAGGAGGTTGTGAGAGCAGATGAACATCAGCTGATGCTCTTCACTGATGCTTTGCAGTGATACTTGAACAAGATGAGCTGCAGGAGGAGAGCACTGGATGTATCAGCCACAAGCTGGCTTCATTAATGCTTCCAAGCGATGCTGGTGATGTAGGCTGGCTACATTAATGTTTCCAAGTGATGCTGGTGATGTTGGTGAAGCAGCAACATGAGGACACTAGATGGAGAGCAACAGAGGGAAGAATGTTGATGCTGAGCAGTCAATTAGCAATTTTCGATAGCCAAGGCAAAATGGAAATAACACTCCTGCTGTGGTAGCCCAGTTGTCTCCTGTCTCTGCCCACACTTCCCACAGTTCATCAAGAACAGTCTGGAAAAAAATAAAACTTATCAGTTTGGTATTAAACAGATATGAGGTGATACTCAAATTTAACTGTCCAACAAGACCTCAATTAAGCAATCACTCCAACTAATATTGTTACTTATGAGAATGAAGTTAACCTTGTTTAAAAAGCACATCTAAATAACTTTGAACTAATTTTCAATTCCATACTTTTAACTCAGTTTGCCTATATTTTCAGGTTTTCAGTCATGATATTCTTTTATCCATGAAACTAACCTAGATGAATATAAGGCTTTCATAAGTAAAACAATTAAATTTCAAGTCACTCACATATACCTATACAAAAATATCTACTATAAACAAAATTTGATCTTCATTCAGTTCCAGGTTGTAATAAATGCAGAAACAGTTTGCTCATAACTCAGTGTATGCCAGACAGAAAAAGTTAAACCCCAGAAACTTGAGTGGAATTCTACATTAAAACCTTGGGTTCATTTTACAACACTTTTCTTTAACTTCACTTCTTGTCGTTTGTTTGTTAGTTTGTTTGTCTGCTACAAATCTTTTAATCAATATTTAACATGCTTCTACCTGTCCAATCAATCTGAAATTTTGCACACTTACATAAAGTTGGAGTCAATGCACGAATCAGTTTACAGAATGAATATGTAATTTTTAACATTTACAAAATTTTTAAATTTAAAATAAATTTTGAATTTTTTTTTTAATATTTGAAAATAGCATTAGAAATTCATTGTACACGTGTAACATCAAGGACACTGGATTCTTTAGAAGTGTTGTCTTTAAAAAGTAATCTTTAAATCCATATTATTTATCCAGAAACTCAATTAGAACTTTGTGGGAAGATTGGCTCCAAAATAAAATGGTCACCATAACACTCTATTGGGGCAACATATCACAAAAAGTTGGATACCAAAAAAAAAAAAAAAAAAAAAAAAAAAAAAGATCCTGTATTAATATCTGCTCTTGGTATTGGTTGTCTTCAACTCAAAAATTCCAGATGAAATCAATTGTCAAATCACTACATAAGCCAAGCCAATGCAGCCATTTGGCTTTAGGTATTAGCCCATGGCCTCAATATATATACATTGGGTCCATTGGGAATCTAGCAGCTTGCAGCCCAATGGTATGCTTGTATTACCAAATAATAAAAAGGAGATAATTCATCTATTGGGAATTTTGCTGCTCCAAAAATGGGGAGAAGCTCTAGTAACAGCTCACATGCAATATATTCTATGCCATGGCCTCACACCTGACCTGCCAAAAAAAATTCAAAAGCTGGCTTTCGGTTAATCTGTCAGTCTCAGTCTCAGACTCTTTGAGAGTGTGAAGAGATATTTGGAAAATGTGTGGAGGTTGAGGGAGAGGATTTCAGAGGAGGATGATAAGAGTAGGGTCTTGAGGTGTGGAAGGTTGAGAGAAGGCCGGATTAGAATTTTCCTACTTGTTTCTGAAATCTTGCAGCTCCAACGTGACAAATTTTGAATACCATTGGAATCTTGTGGCCTGATTGTGGTCTTCTGTTAACAGTAACCAATAAGATAGGATGTAATTCATTTGGCGGAAATCTTGCGGTTTTGAAAATGCCGGGAAAGCTTTAGTTGCGGCCCTAAAGGTAGACGTTTTCCACACTTGAGAGAGGAGAGGGTGGGAAGACAAAGGTGACCATGCTAAATGTTTTAATATGTCATTTCTGTTTTTCAGGGTGTTGCAAGATGAAATGTTTTAGTTTTTTTTAGGATTCAGTTGAATCCAACTTAATTGGACTTTTTATCAACACACAAGTGTGAACTTTTCATTTTTTTTACACTAGTAAAAGAGCTATCATGCAGCATGTATGACCGATTTAAAGGTCGTGACTGAAGGTCAGCACCGATAACAGCACGCATCCAATTCCAATTCTCAGTTACTCCCAGTTCCCACAACAAAAGACAACAGCAACAACAAATAATTTTTTAGTACCTGCTTAACTGCAGATATGCTCAATCTAATAGCAATCTTGATTCTTGATTAGGGTAAACCTGGTATATTCCAGCACATTAAGGACGTAGCAAGAAATGAATGGCTATAAAAATATCACCTTATGCGCAACTCAAGTTCTGATTGGTTTACGTAACTCTCAAAACAGCACACTACGCGCCAGCAACGATGAAACATCACAAACTGTTGCCATATTTATTTAAAAGCCTTTAGAACTCAAACCTACAAAATCCCTGAATTCCGACGCTGTATGCGACTAAATTAGGCATATTGTGAGACTAATTCCGACAGCACTTCAAACTCTATTAATTTGTAATTCCGGCGCCCTGTGTTGGAATTTCAACGCCCCGTATGCACTGTATCAGAATATAACACAGCTCGGAACGAGCTTAATTAAGAAAATTTCAATTTTTGGACACAGCTTGGAACGAGCTGTGTGTGTCTAATTCCAAGCTGTGTTGGAATTAGTTTTTATGTGTCTAAAACCATCGCTTAACTTAATCAACTATTAATTTATTTACCACTTGAAATTAGCAAATACAACTTTACAAGTATACTTAAAGGATTCCTAATATATTCACAAACTTATTTAAAAGTCTCAAACCATAATATTCTTTCTACACAAACAGTTTATCACTATATGGTAGAACAAGGTGAGGTCAACTATCAACTTTGACAAGTTTTTCGATGTTCTCACTGGGTGATGTGCATTGTGCACTGTCGGACTGTCTCTCTTTGGATCTTAACATTTTCCCGCCAGACGGCCCAGACCTAGTGTTTTGGCAATAGTATGGCGCGCAATAGTATGACGTCACTATTTCAACCATCAACGAATGCAAGGAACTAAGACAAGGCTTAATATAAAGGAAAAAAGTTTAGAAGTGTTGGAATTACCCAGTAGGTACCCACGATGTCGGAATATACTGCATTTACCCTACCATCAATTTTTTTTAGATACAAGAGTAACAAGAGAATATAAGCATAAGCCATAAGCTCATCATTCCAAGTCATTTATTAATAGAATTTTTCAAACATAACAGTACACTGAGTACACTGTACAGCACTACAACAGCAGTAGCTAAGTCCTGTCGTAACAGCATAGCACTATGATCAGTATTAATCAAGATAATGCTCAATAAATATAAACCTTAAAAGCCTCTCGTCTTGTGACCCAGTCATTTATTTAGAAATTTTTCCCTGACAATCTGAAGTAGGCCTCCTGCCTACATCCCATCAAATGATCAAAGATCATTCATGGCCAACCCAAGTCGATCAGTCAATGCTCTGACTCTGAGATTTCCGATGTGCCTCTGAGATTTCCGATCGCACATCCTGGTACCTATTAACGTTTATATATGCTAAACAATCAGATTCTGACTAGCGTTACAGTTTATACGCATCATTGAAATAAATCGTACGCTTAATGCGCCAATAACATCTAATAATAGTGGAAACACCCATGGAAGGGAGTTGCCCGTTAAACTTCGGTAATCATTACACAGAGGACAGAGCACAAGAAATACTCACACATAACGTATCGCGCAACAAAAAACATGTAAGTTCATCACAAAATACCATTGCAATCCTCATTTTTGTAATTTGAACTTACCGGTTGTCCTGAGAACGATCAAACAATAAAAATCAAGCAAATAATTTCGTAGCTGCTTCACCCAGTGTCAACAAACACACCCGCCATCTTGAAACTGAATAATGACGTAATGCAGCGGCCGCGAAATTTGATTTCCATTAGCAGTCTGGCATGTCAGTCATTTGGAACATGTGAAGACACATTGAGATTATAAATGTGTAGATACCGTATAGAATGGACATAACATATAGAATTAAAAGCAATTATATACCGTCTCTTATCCCCGTTTCAACAATTTAATCACATAAAAAGTAGACCACATGTAGACAGTCGACACTTCTAAATTTTTAAATGACATAAATAGATTGTCATATAGGCAGGAGCATATATATAACTTTCACATGGGCAGCATCGCAAAGATGTCCTCATTAATTAGCTCAGGATGAGCAGCAGCTCAGCAGAGACGTACTCATTAACCGGCTCATTATGAGGAGCAGTGCAGAATTGTATTAATTAGTTTGCTCATGATGAGCATCAGCGCAGAGTTGTACTAATTAATTAGCTCATCATGAGAAGCTGAGCAGAACATCACCGAGCAGGTACAGTGTAATTGATCCGCTCGGCCGTGGTTTTGTAGCAATGAATGTCACGTATATGCTACTTTGATGGACGCTACTAGGCTGTTCAGGGGCCGTATTATCAAAACTTCGTAAGTACGCAAAATCGACTTACGACTGGCGTAAGTGCTGATATGATGACGTAACTCTACCTCATTCTGCCTTCCACTTATGGAAGAATATTTAAAGCACGCCTTCTACTTTCGAAAGGATATTTTATAATTTGAAGCACGACTTCCACATGCAGTATGTCAAATTGTACAATTCGCACAACTTACTAGCAAGTAGGGACTTATTTTCTTTAAAATTTTCACTGAACTTCACATCATCAGGGTGACATTTATTTGAATCAATTTATTCGTTGAGGCTAGCTAAAAATTTAATTGTGTTTCCGAGTCCACCAAGTTGTTGTTTTTACTCTTCAAGGGTTGGGTTTCAATCATGCCGAGATGTTCGCCGCATATTCGTGATTGTTATTCAAGTTTCTATCAAAACATCGTTCCGACGTTCTTGATTTCTATCAAGTGTGCAAAGCTGATACCAAAGCTGATTAATTAACTAAGCTGATTAGCATTAATCAGCAAAGCTGATTAATTGTTTGCTGAAATTTACACAGATGAAGCTTGCTTACCAATAATACATTTCTTAGAGTATTTAGGACTTCGTAATCTTAACAATGCAATAAAACAGTATGACCAATTTTCATAGCTCGTTTTCAAGCAATAACTTAGTACGTCAAACCAAACCCGATTTTGACCATCTTATAACAACGAAGCTGCTTAATCACGATAAGCCCCTGTGAACCGAATCGACACTTCAGCGAACTCGCCTGCGAGCTCGAATGCAAAACCTAACTTCATTTTCAACTCTGACACTCATAAATCCGTCAATTATGAACGGATTTTATTCAAATTGGAAGTATAAGTAGATAATATCAGTAATTTGCTAAGCGTTGTCAGAATTATTTTCATAGTTTTTTTCGCGTAATGTGCTGAATTTTAAATTTTTAAATCTTGTACACGACTAATAAAGTATTATGTCTAGTAATTATGTTACGGTTTTGTCTCGTTGTCTTCCAAAGTTGCTTCATAATTCCGTGCCCGGCATTGCTAGTAAATAATGGCATACAATGCTGGCGTGATAATAATGATAATAATGGAGTACAATACTAGCGTCATAACAAAACTAATAATAGCATACAATACTGGCGTGATAATAATGATAATAATGGAGTACAATACTGGAGTGATAATAATGGTAATAATGGCGAACAATGCTGATAATAATGGAGTACAATACTAGCGTCATAACAAAACTAATAATAGCATACAATACTGGCGTGATAATAATGATAATAATGGAGTACAATACTGGAGTGATAATAATGGTAATAATGGCGAACAATGCTGGAGTGATAACAATAATAATAATGGAGTACAATACTGGCGTAATAACAATGATAATAATGGCGTACAATACTGCGTGATAAAAATAATAATAATGGTGCACAATACTGGCGAGAATTAAATTTTGTAAAGTTCGATAGCCATGTGATGTAAAAATGTGTATCATAAATTTGATGAAATAAATGCTTGAAATATATACAAATGGTTGGAAAATTGAACAAAATTCTTGAAAATTGGATATAAAATCTGTTTATTTCGTTAGAAATGCATAAATTCGCAATTTTTCAATTTGGATAATGAATGAATCATGAAGTAAATTATATTATTCGGATTTCTAATTTAACCAAAATATTTGAAAAAATGTAAACATATATGCGTGAAAATAATGGTTGAAAATGCTTATAAAAATGGCTGAAATTGTAAGAAAATAATCCAGATATCCAGAGAAAGTGTAAATGATCAAGTGATCTGAAATGCCGAAATTTTTAATTTATTTCGATTTGGTATATGCATTCGTCTTTTGGGTTGCGGGCAGGTGGACGGAATATGTGAGAATGTCGTGGTGAAAAGAATTCACGAGAATGATTAAAAAATGGATATATCGTTATTTTTTGTGAAAAAACACTATTTAAGCGTTAGTGGAAAACACGAAGAAAACGGTTTTGAAAATAATTGAACAATTTAAGGAATATCTTTGGAATGATATAGCAAATTTGAAGAAAACTTGTCTTAAATGCTGGGAAAAGCGAGTTTCAAGAGAAACGTGATGCTAAGTTAGGTTTACGTACGTGTGAACGAAAGACGCGTTCAGGAAACAATATATTATAATTATTAAAACTAGAAATGCTTAGTTAATTGTTGTGTGGAAATTAGCGAATTAATATGGCAGGGCGCGTGGACATCTCGTACATATTGAAACGCAGAAAACGGGCATCTTTATGAAATTGTTTTCTGCTTTCGCTTGGGAACGGTTTTGCCGCGAAGTTGTTTCGGTAAGCTATGGTAATAATTACATAACATAACATAACATAGTGATGTCGGCGCTAAAGAGTAGGCCTGATGTGGCCTGTCGCCGATTCTTGAACTTTTCGTGCCTTGTTCACAGAAGATCTAATATAGTGTCATTTGACCGGATCTTTTCAAGACTGACGATAGTTTGAAATAGCTATAGACTTCCACCGGGTTCGATATGATGCTAGGCATTTCAAGTCTGAACATATATTTTTCCATAGCTTTATCTAGTCTGTTCTTGAACGCGTTCATACTTGGAACGCCAACGATGTCATCAGGGAGGCTGTTCCACATTAATTAATAACGGTTTCAGCGTTTATTAGGCCGTATAGGCCTGTCGCCGATTCTTAACATCGCAGAACATCTACAGCTTGTTGCGGGCTCGAACTAGCAACTCACTGCTTCAATTTTTGCTTTTGCTTAACCGCCCGGCCTCCTTGCCGATTCTGACCAGAAACTGGCGCAAAGAGATCGAACCCGCGCCTCTCTGCGCCAATCCAGGTAACTCTGAACTTTAACCACTGGGCCACCCTGCCTTTATTTATTATGTTTTATTATTCTAATAGTTTTTTTTCACGTAATGCTTTGAATTTTAAATTTTAAAATCTTTTACACGACTAATTCACGCCATTATACATTATGTCGGTGACTCGAAGCGAGAAGAAATGTTGGCGCGTCGAGAATTTAATTGCAGCGCAGTTTTTTTAGTTTATAGCCGTGGCCTATGGTGTTGGCTCTTGTTTCAAATTCTAGTAATCCTTTATAAAATAAAAATGAATATAATTAAAAGTAATATAATATAAAAAATAACATAATAATTATATATAATATAATATATATAATTAACATAATTATATTCTATTAGAAAAATAATATAATATAATAGTATGATTTAATATAATAATAAAAAGTAATATAAAATCACATAAGGTGTAGGAGAAAAAATATCAGCGAAGAAATTATAAGTCGGATGAAGAAGTGTAATTGATGTGAGTTATGCTATATAGTTTGTTACCTAAAGCTTAGTAAAATTGGTTAACGTTTATTTAAAAGAACGCTCATGTCCTCGTAAACACTTGCATTCTTAGAATAAAATTATAGGGTATTTGAAATTTTTTTAGCGCGCCTAGAAAATTTAAAGGGATTTACTCATTCTATTTAAACAAAGTTTGATTTATCGTAAAATGCCGTCCGTTTTGTGTAGTCATCGTAGCAGTTATAGCCAATTTTTTATTCCTGGTTCATGTTCAATTCTGGCTTCTAAAATAAGCCCAACCAACTCGAGGTAAATAGAAATATCCATTGAGGTTCAAATTTTCCATTGACTATTTTCAAATGTGCGCAATCTATGGAGTTAGATGAACAATCAAGCTCAGACGTTGTTTGTATCATCGTTTTTGAATGTCCTTATAACCTATCCTAGTTTTTCCTCATAAATTTGGGTAATATAAATTTCCCGTAAGACGATTGATTAATCTTGATAATAGCATTTTGAAATTGATTAAATAGCGTATTATTAACGTTAAAATTGTCATACCAAGAGTAAATAATATGGTCGAATTTTTTTTTTTCAATTCGAAGTGGCCACCTTACACGTCAACTTTACCTTGACATAGCGAATTCAAAAATAAGATTTGTTTGGATTTTGATAATGTATTTTTGCTGTTGTTCACCTATAGCGGGGAGGGCATTTTCTAGCATTCATTTGAGTCATTCAATTTCTATTTTCTAAGACAAGTTAGTTGCGTTTGGACAACCGGCGAGTGAGGTTGTAGAAAAATTTTCTCCGTCCGCTCGTCTGAGAAATTCTTAGCGTTAATAAGGTACTTGTGACACTCACAGTAACATTTGTACTCCTCTATAGATTATTCACGCTATTTTGATTTCTTTCTAACCCAACTTCTATCGTTATTAATTTGTCGTTCTTTATCAATTACTTGTGACACTTGCCACGCAGCCACTACACAAACCAATTAAGGTTCTAAGAGATTATATGCATGTGGTCCAGTGATATTAGCTTAGTGCAACAACTGCAGTATTAGTCATTATGTGTTGTGTTCGAGGAAACTAATTTGAACCTATTGCCTGACTTTTCATAAATAGCATTTGTACCCTAACGTAATACTGTCGTAGTATCGGTTGCTTGGTTTTTAACGATACAACGATACAGTAGTAACTGCAGTGTGCAGTTGACTCAACTTGACTGATTATTCAGTGGCAAAATGCAATTTGCATTTTGTTGGCAAATTAAACGTGAAGCTTTCATTCCAATGATTCTATTCTGTTCCAAATAAGTTCTAAAATTAGTTACGAAATTTGATGTTGAGGACATTAAAAATTAAATCAGATAATTGTATACTACAATATGCCCTGGAAATTCAAATTAGTAGAATTTAAATCCGTGAGATAAAGTTTCGAACACTGGAATGAGAAACAAATAAAGCGCGTAGTGAACGAAGAAGCTACAACTACCCAGCTGCGACGTGTCCGCGGGTTCAATGTCGTAGTTGTTAGCCCATTTACTCCAATGTATACACGATTACACGTGATGTACCTATCATCTGCCGTAGAAGTGCGCTGCCTCTAATCCACTAGCTTTGTCTTTGCTATTTTAATCAATATTTTCAGCTCGGGTTATATCCCAATCATAGTTGCCATAAAGATCAATGCGATAATATGTTGCGACTTGCGAATTGCGATGAACGCTTAGCCTTCAACCAAAACCGGTTCGCAGTTACTGGGCGGCTCTGCCATGTCGTGTCCTTGAGAATGAGCCGTGTTGTACAGCAGCAATGAGGAGTGGATGAGCGTAATTTTGTTTAGACCAACGCCTGTTGGGTGTAGACTAACGCCACTTGAGTGTAGACTAACGCCACTTGAGTGTAGACTAACGCCACTTGAGTGTAGACTAACGCCACTTGAGTGTAGACTAACGCCAGTTAAGTGTAGACTAACGCCAGTTAAGTGCAGACTAGCGCCAGTGTAGACTAACGCCACTTGAGTGTAGACTAACGCCACTTGAGTGTAGACTAATGCCAGTGTTGCGTGTCGACCAAAATAAGTTGCGTATAGAACACCAGTGTAGTGTAGACTAATGCCAGTGTTGCGTGTCGACCTCGACCAAAATAAGTTGCGTATAGAACACCAGTGTAGTGTAGACTAATGCCAGTGTTGCGTGTCGACCAAAATAAGTTGCGTATAGAACACCAGTTGCGTGTCTACCAACACCAGTTGCGTGCAGACCAACGCTAGTTGAGTGTAAAGACTAGACCAACGTCAGTTTGTTGTTAACGCTTTTCCGCGCCAGTTAGGCGCGCATTTAATGAGGCAGCTATTTAGTCAGTAGAGCAAACGTAAGTTGTACGTCGCAATAGCTGCCAACATAGGATAAGGCAATAAAATTAGAATTTCTCAATTTGGTTTCAAAAAAATTTCCTGCAATCTACGCTGGCACCGAGTTCTTTAAGACTGTGACTATCAGAATGTGTTGAATCCATGGTTATGTCATATGCGTGTTAGAATGTTTTCCCAGCTGCTTCCTGAGAAAAATAACTTGGTTTAGGAGGTTTAGATCCCCATTGCCAATTTTATTACGCAAATTGAAATATTTTTACTCGCTATACCAACCGTCGTATGATATGATAGGAATAGTATTGTCCTCTTTTAGCCCGAGGTAGGACAGTGACGGACAAATATTTGTGTACAGTGATAGGAACTTGACAGAGAGCTGAATGGCGGCAGCAGCAGGATTACCGAAAACGCGACGTTTAGTTAGGTTCTTCTGTTCGATTGCGGGTTTGGCTGGGTGAGTCTGAAGTCAAAGCAGTCACTGATCAGTGATCACTTGTACTGTCTTGCAGTCAATGATTACTTGTACTGTCTTGCAGTCACTGATTACTTGTGTTGTCAACTCTGCATTCTGCTGGACTGAAGTCACTGCACTCTTCTTCTTCAGTCATGATATACTTGTACTGTCACTGCACAGTGCACACATGTGCTGCTGTCGCTGCACTATAGTGACGCAGTCATTGCACACTTGTACAGCAGTGGTGGCATGAATCATGTGCATCCCGTAAAAAATAAATGTATAGTTACTGGTGCATTTCTGAGAGTGGAGTGTGTTTTATACCGTGTTGCGGCAGCTTGGATTTTGTGCCTTGTGTCGTGATCGAGTAAAGCAGTGGTTCCCACACTTTTTCAGGCTGGCGCCCCCTTTGGCTCCCTAGTGAATTTCTAGCGCCCCCCACAGTCATACGCCTCTTTCTTGAAATTCAGTACGCTGCAATCTTAAAAGATAAATGTTAAACACAAATGTGTATTTCACAAATAGAACTCCATTTAGTGAACCAATGTGTTTTTCACCTGTTTTAACTGATTCAGCACTAGAAACCTAGGACGTCTCGGGCAAATTTACGGCCGGACACTTGGCCAGTCTCACGACCAATCTCCAAATTCAATTATCAAGTAATATCTCCCAAACTAATGAACGCAGCTCAATGAAACTTGGAACATGTATTCATCAGAACTTAAAGTTGATGTTTAGCTCTTAATTTTTTTTAAATTTCACCTTCATTCGTGAGTTACGCGTATATTGCGAAATAGGCCGAAATTGCAGTGATCAAGGAATTTCTTCCAAACTATTGAACAGATTTGAACAAAATTTTGAATATACCTTCCTAACTACCAAACGGTGATTTTTTAGCTCATAAAATTATTTCGATTTTACCTTCGTTTGCGAGTTTTTCATTTCACCGTCATTCTTGATTTCGCACTTCCTTATATTCGGCCCGTATCGCCGGGTAATTTGTCACTTAAATTTGCGGCGATCAAGAAATTTCTTCTAACCTACAGAACAGATTTCAACGAAACTTTGTATATAAATACATAACCTCCCAACGGAGATGTTTAGCTCGGGACACTTTTTATATTTTGCTTTCGTTCGCGAGTTTTACAAATATGGCAGGAACGACCGGCTTTTCTACCGGCCGGTTTAACCAAGAGCCTTATACGTATAGCCGTATAACTCGCAAACGAAGGCAAAACGAAATAATTGTAAACATCACCGTTGCTGAGGTTAGGTATTTAAATACTAAATTTCGTTCAAATCTGTTCAGTAGTTTGGAGAAAATTTCTTGATTACTGCGGATTTAAGCACGTATTGCTGTTTCAATCACGAATGAAGGTGAAATGAAAAAAAACTCGTGAACGAAGGCACAATAGAAAAAATTTTTCACGAGCTAAACATTACCGTTCGGTAGTTAGGACTGTAAATTCAAAATTTCTTTCGAATCTGTTCAGTAGTTTGGATTTTACTTGATCACTGTGAATTTCGGCCCGTATTGCCATATAACTATGGCAAAAACAAACGATGGCAAAATTCTAATAATTTTCACGAGCAATACATTATCTTTAGGTCCTAGTGAATACGTATACCAAGTTTCATCGAGTTAAGTTCATTAGTTGGAGAGATATTCCTTGATCATTGAATTTGGAAATTGGCCGTGAGACCGGCCGCGAGTCCGGCCGTTAATTTGTCCGAGACGTAAACCCAGGAGAAGTTAAAAAACAGATCTGGGTGAAAAAAACCATCGCTGGGAGTCATGTGCTGCACGTGTTGTGTACAAATCGTCAAACAAACGTTAGAAACTTCTGACATTGACTTCGGACTACCGCCCCCCTATCGCCCCCCAAACGCCCTCTCCTTCCTTACCGCCCCCCAAAATCTTTTCACCGCCCCTAGGGGGGCGATATCGCCCACTTTGGGAACCACTGGAGTAAAGCCTTTTGGTGTTTTGCTGGAGCCTAACTAAGTTCAGCTCTGTACTGACCGCTAGTATAGTATGTAGACTCGCCAGCGTATGAGTATCGTGCTTTTTTCTCTCTGTAGCATCATATTCTTGTTTTTCATAACAATAAAAAATAGAATTTGATCTCGGTGAAATAGCATTGTTGTATTTCATTATAATGTAAAATTAACTTGACCATTCGACACGGTCTTCGCTATTGCACCTCGTTCCTAAAAGGAAGCAAAGGCAGTGACGACAATGTGGGGATTATCACCAATAAAATAGAATAATGAAACGCCTAATACTTTGGTGTCTCGATACTATACCAAGACCATTTGATTCGATTTATACGGCGTTACGCAGCCATGATGCATAGTTCTATAACGTAAATTAAGGATTGATGCGCCGAGTTTATTCCGTCTAGTACAGTGCTGAGACAGTTGTAGTACTGATGCTTGTCTAGTGTATGAAGGCTTAATTAATGTGGTGCGTTGCAGGAACCTGAGTTTGGTTCGTTTTATACTGCGTTGAGACAGACAATAACACCGAGGCTTTTTCATGTTTAAAGGACTAACGTGGTTCGTTGCAGGAACCGGAGTTTGGTTCGTTTCATACTGCGTTGAGACAGACAATAACACCGAGGCTTTTTTCATGTTTGAAGGACTAACGTGGTGCGTTGCAGGAACCTGAGTTGGGTTCGTTTTATACTGCGTTGAGACAGACAATAATACCCAGGCTTTTTCATAATTTCATGCTTAAAGGACCAACGAGGTGCGTAGCAGGAACCCGAGTTTGGTTCATTCTAAACTGCGTTGAGACAGAAAATATCACCGAGGCTTTTTAGCGCATTTTCTCATTTATGGAAAAATTGCACTATTGTGCTCGCCATGTTCGTCCGTCTGTCTGTCCGTCCGTGACTTCACGTATTCGTCGACGAGAAAATGCGCTCTCTGTCACTCACTGCAGTGAGTACTGAGGTATATTTTTTCATGTTTGAAGAACTAACGTGGTGCGTTGCAGGAACCTAAGTTTGGTTCGTTCTAAACTGCATTGAGACAGACAATAACACCGAGGCTTTTTTAATGTTTGAAGGACTAACATGGTGCGTTGCAGGAACCTAAGTTTGGTTCGTTCTTAACTGCGTTGAGACAGACAATAACACCGAGGCTTTTTTAATGTTTGAAGGACTAACATGGTGCGTTGCTGGAACCTAAGTTTGGTTCGTTCTAAACTGCGTTGAGACAGACAATAACACCGAGGCTTTTTTCATGTTTGAAAGACTAACATGGTGCGTTGCTGGAACCTAAGTTTGGTTTGTTTTAAACTGCATTGAGACAGACAATAACACAGAGGCTTTTTTAATGTTTGAAGGACTAACGTGGTGCGTTGCAGGAACCTGAGGAAGATGTCAGCGGCAGACTCTCCCGCCAGCGTCTGGGTGCGGCACTGCGAGCAGGACACGCGGGATGGCGTTGAAGGCTCCGTTTCTGGTCAGTTGCAGGCTTGTCCACGGCTAGAGCTAATTATTTATTATATTAATTATTTTAAAAATCCTAAGCATCTGTTTTTGAGCCGCAGTTGCCGGGTGCTTAGTTTTTTTATCTTTATGATCACAATGGCAAGCTGTTTAAGATTTTTCGTTTGTATTTATATACCTAACTCAATGGCCGAGTGATCATGGTTCTCAATTCGTCTGTATGAGCCTTTTTAACTTGCAAAAAATTGTGTTCTCCGCTTACTTGTTATTACTGGTACTAGTACAGATTAGTACAGTTTTGACGTTTCATTTTGCTGCGTGAGTTACGATAGTAGAAGTACTCGACATCCTGCGATAAGAGTTACGATAGTGGAAATACACGATTTCGTAGAGAAGAGTTATGATAACTAGTACTATACAATATCAAAACATCGTACAATAAGAGTTACATCATCGGCAGTTGGCGACGTCTTTAAATAAGAGTTACATCATCGGAAGATAAGAGTAACTCTAAAGAGAGTTACTCTTAAGTCTAGAGAGCTAAGGTAAGATTTCTCGCCACACAAACAAACGATAAATAAACACTTTTTGCAATGAATATCCTCGTTCCTACAACACTGAAGCATTGACACGTACACACATAGTTGAACTCTTCAACTTGTTGATCTAATTCATTATTTCGTGAAGTCACTCCAGTTAACTATTCGAATTGTCTAGTGTTTTTCTATACATAGGTAGCCTACGAGCCCGTGAGTCTGAATCTGAAGTTAAAGAATTGAAGTTGATCAATTTACGATTGAATTCATTAGCAATTAGCAATTTCTTTGTTTACAATACCGCGTGCTAGATAATTAGTTTTGTGTTGTAATTACCTTGTTAAATATTTTATTTTTCATTCATCGGCCTCGCCATCTGATTATGTAAATGCATTTTGATTGGATTTCCAACATCCCCCACACGTTGACCTGTGTACGCAGCTAAACTAGCGATTATTAGCAACATTTCAAAATGTGCTGCTATAATGTGGGGTAAATTCATTTGTTATAGAATAATTGATCTTGCAGGCACCATCCCGCGCTGGCTGAATGGGAACCTCATCCGCAACGGTCCCGGGGGGAAGAAGGTGGGGGAGCATCACTATAATCACCTCTTCGACGGCCTCAGCCTTCTGCATCTCGTTAACATCACTGATGGAAAAGCCAAATACATTTCCAGGTGCGTCCAGATTCGGGTTCCAGGTAAGGGCTTAAACCCGTAGCAGGTACGTCCTGAGGTTGAACCCAGAATAGGTACGCCCGGAATTTAAACCCGTAGCAGGTAGGTCCTGAAGTTGAACCTGAAGCAGACCTGTACGTTCAGATGAAGAATGAACCCCCGTAGCAGGTTCGTCTAGAGGTTGAACCCCGTAGCAGGCGCGTCTAGAGGTTGAACCCCGTAGCAGGCGCGTCTAGAGGTTGAACCCCGTAGCAGGCGCGTCTAGAGGTTGAACCCCGTAGCAGGTGCGTCTAGAGGTTGAACCCCGTAGCAGGTGCGTCTAGAGGTTGAACCCCGTAGCAGGTGCCTCTAGAGGTTGAACTCGGAGCATGTTGTCCTGAGGTTAACAGCGAAGACCTTTTGCTCTCCTAAATATTATAAAGAATTTAAGTTTCGCGCAATTAATTAACTGCTAGTGAAGAAACGTATGAACTTCAAAATTCAAGTTACCGACTAGTCTCGTGTAATTTGATTGGAATATTGTGTCTTTATCTCCTATTAATTAGTCTTCTCGATTTCCTGTTAAAGCTTTCGTTGATTCTAACTCTTCCGTGATTAAGCATCAGAGTTAAATTATAAGTTAAAGTCACAATTGAATTTCTAGATGAAAATATATAGTTGAGTGTATACGGCACTCGTATTTCATTCGAGACTCAACTCTATAGAGGGCTGAATATACCTAGGTGCATGAACCCGCATATACACAGATACATGAGCTTCATATATACCCAGTCATATAAGCGCCATATATACCCAGGTATCTGGAGAGCGAGACTTACAAGCTGAACCACCGTGCGAACCGCATCGTAGTGAGCGAGTTTGGCACGGCAGGAGTGCCTGATCCTTGCCTGAGCCTCTTCGACAAGTTCTCGACGTACTTCAAGCCCGCACTCACCCAGAAACGCACCGACAACTGCCTTGTCAACGTCATGCAAGTCAAGGATGAACTTGTCGCCATGACAGAGCTCTCTACAGTCAGGGTTGTCGACCCCAACACACTGGAGACGAAGCCTGAACTGGTGGGTGGAGCTGGGTGACTAGTTAGGTAATGGGGCTAGTGGTGTCGGGTGAGTAGTGAGGTAACGGGACTAATATGGTGCGGGGTGACTTGCGGTTGCAGAGTGATTTGTGGTCTAATACCAATAAGTAACTAGTTGGACAAGGGGACTAGTGGTCCATTTCTACTGGTTGACTACTGGTCTGTTGATACTTTTTAACTAGTGGGGCAGGGTGAAGAGTAAGACAGAGTGACTAGTAAGACAGGGAAACTGGTGGAATTGGGTGACTATGTGATTAGTGGTACTACATTGAAATTAATATTACATTATTAAATAGAAATTTGAAAGCAAAGAAAATTCCACAAAAGTTCATCATTGTAGAAATGATGAACTTTTTTTTACAAATAAAAAGTCTTCTATTTGTAAATTTAGATTTTAATTTCGGTTGCGTGACTTTCGATTGTACTAACTTGTGATTTTATATGCATTCTAGAATCTTCGAACTGGCGATGGAGGAAAACTCCAACGTTTTCTATAAACTTACGATAAACTTCTCTGAAATTTCCTTTGTTTTCAAATTTCTTGTTAATTTGCGATTAAGCAAAAAAGTGACATCAAAACATTATTAAAAATTCATCGAAAGCACACGCTGGTAGACCATACCTATATACCCATGATCACCGTATAACTGATAATAATCTTATAATCATGATTATCTTAGAATCCACGATCGCCATTTAGCTCATAATCACAGAATAATACGATAACCATAAAATTTGTGATCACCGAATTTATAGGTCCTCGTATAGCTCGTAATCACAATGACCGACCTTATAATGTACTATTGCAGGTCCGCTACACGGACTACGTGTCGGTCCAGCGGGTGACCGCCCACCCCCACCTGGAGGGCAACGTGGCCTACAACCTCGCCTTCAGCACCGGCCCGAGCGGTCCTCCGAAATTTGCCATCATTTCCTTGGCCGACGGCAAAATTCAAAATTCGAAAATCGTGGCATCGGTGCCATGCAGGTGGAAGTTCACGCCGCCTTATCTCCACAGTTTCGGTATCACTGATAACTTCTACATCATAGCCGAAACACCGATGGCCATCGATGCCAGGCTTCTTGCGTTACCGGCTTTCTTTGGCATGAGCTCTTTTAACGCCTTGAGATATTTCAATGGCGAGAAGACCAAGTTCAGAATAATGTCTCGCGAGACTGGAGAGGAGATTAAAGTGAACGCTTATGCACCAGGGTTCTTCAACTTCCACTACTTGAACTGCTACGAGAAAGATGATATGTTGGTTATTGATGTGTGTGCGGCAGATGACAACCTCATCGAATACCTCAAAATGGAGAATATCAAGAAACCTGCCGATGACATGTCCAGAAAAATGTGTAACGTTGAACCAAGAAGGTACATCATACCTGTTGGGAACCTCGACTCAAGCCCCGTCAACGTAGACCTTCTAAAAGATTTTCCTGACGCTAAAATTGGGGAAAATAGAGCCACGGCTGTGAAAGAGGCCAATGGGGAACTCATGGTCACTGGGGTGCGTCTGGGGGAAGTGTTCATGGAGTTACCCCGTATTAATTATCGGTACAACAAGAAGCAATACACGTACGCATACGGTGCCTCAGTGTCCGACTACAAGTTAAAAATGTTCGACTTTGATGGTATCGTGAAACTGAACGTGACGAACGGCGAGACAACTTTTTGGCAGGACCAAGACTACTTCAGTTCTGAACCTGTGTTTGTAGAGACGCCTGGGGGCGTTGAGGAGGATGACGGAGTTCTGCTCAGCATTCTTATCAGTAAAAATAAACCCAAGGAGCTGGCACTGATCGTGCTCAACGCTCAGGACATGAAGGAAATGGCTAGGGTCGACTTCATTGCAAGTGGGGCCGTTACATCCACGTTTCACGGCCAGTTCATTGCCTCGAAGGGAGAAGTTCACGCTTACTAGACCAGTGGCTCCCATAGTGGCAAAGCAGAGACTTTTTAGACTCTGTAACAAGTTGCAATTTTAAGTCCTATAAGTAGACCAATAAAGTATCATGGATCCAAGCATCATCATACATAAGTTATTGGCTTAAATCTTGAGTAAATGAGAAATGTAAATGAACTGAATCTAAAAAATCACTTGTTTGCGCTATGGTGGTTCCTAAACTTTCTAATTTTCTTATCCATGTTAACATGATGCCACAATATTCGTGTTCCTCCCCTTGCAAAAGAAGTTAACATTGATGAATGTATATGTACGACTAAACTAAATAATAAGTATTCTTTTACCCTTCCATTACTCTTGAAATATTCATAGGTTACCTCCATGTTATGTGCCGCTGAGCCACTGTATCAGGCATTGTGAAGGCACTGGATGAGTTTATTTGTTCAAAGCAAATAATGAAATGCTTTAATTTGGTTCTGAAATGTAAAAGTGTTCCTAATATTTGAATTATGTTGAAGTTTTTGATTCAAACTGGCATTGTGGTATAAGTGCGTTTTGTTGCGATTAGATTTTAGTGAGTTTATTGTTTTGGAAATTGATTTCCACACAAATCATTTATTGTATCTGTAAAGTAAAACGTGTTGTCGTATTATTACAATTATATTGAATCTAAACATTCTGAAATTATTTTATAATGGAACATCTTGTTGAATTTAACGGTTAATTTCCCACTGACACCTTTTATTGTCTATAACGATGAAAATGCGCTGTCGTTTTGTTCAGAAATGATTTCTACAGAATTTTTCGAGCAATGTGCATAATTGCTGTGCTAAGGCTGTACACTTAAATAGTGCGAGAAATCATTGCCATAATCTCAGTACGTGAAATCTCATTGATTTAATTGAAATCTGAATTATTTAAATAGTATTTTCATCGAATCTACAGGGTGCGAAGTAAATAAATTTAACTGAATAAAATAAAATTTTATTTATTCAATTTATAATAAACGAGCCAGTTTATTCATTATTTGATTTTTTTGTGGATTTTACAGGTATATTATCCGTGCCTCGTGATAGCAACATTGTTCAGTTTGCGAACTGCGGTAAGATTGGAGAATTTGAACAGAATTAAATTTATGATTCATGCCGACATGTTGCGCTTCAAGCAGCCTACATGTATGTAGCTGCATTTATGCAGCTCAGTGTTTAATCTTTTGTGAATGTTTGCATGGAGACCATGAAGTCTATAAAATATTATATATATAATGAACGTAACTTTGCTTATAAATAATTATATTGTGCTGTTTTTCGCTTCCATAATAAACATTAAAATATATTGCGTGTCTTTATCCAATTGAGGAAAAAGGGACCGGCTACCCTCCAACAAAACTTTTTTGTTTACAGACGGATCGTTTTGAAACTTGGTACACATATGTAAAACAGAAATCTAAGACCTTTGTGTTCATGTAAATTTAAAAATAAAATGAAAGAAAACGTGGAATTAATAAAGAACGGCAAATAAGGGGTACTCTAAAAAAGTTGATAACTTTTGCAAATCACATGCTACAATGTCGAGACACATATCATTCGATTTGTAACAACAATATCTAACGACTGTAGAATCCCGATTTTTGATTTTCCTCATCGTTTTTTTCGCGTTCTTCCCATTTTTAGCCCCCCCCCACCTTCCTCCCCCTCCCATATATAAATCAAACCATGCACATGACATATTAAAAAAAAGGTTTCTAGAGTCGCTAGGTATTGTTTTTACAAATCGAATGGTATGTCTCTCATTGCCGTAGCTTGAAAACTGTTGGAGTTATAATTTTTTAAGATGGCGTTTGTTGTGAACGCAACATTTGCTTTAGAATAGTAGTTTAATTCCGTGGTCTTGCTGAACATTTTCGCTCATTAGTCACCTGTCGGCTGCGCGGTACAGACCAAACTTTATTCAGGAACGAATTTTGGTGAGCTTAGTTCTCTTGTTTGAATATTTCTTTGCCGCTTAGAAAGCCTTGGTTATTTACTGTAATGTTTAATATTTGCGAATATTGTTTATATATTCAATGACCTTTTGTTTGTTTTAGTTTGAATTTTTTGTATTTGTACTGGTTTCTTTCCAGAAACCGTGTCATCTGGGATTATGAAGAAAAAGAATGAAACCTGATGCACGCGTATTCAATTAATCCTGCCTTAGATAACAGTTGCGCTGAAAAGCACTAAATAGTCTGCAACAGCGTTTTTTGGATTTTTGAATTGTTCAGGGGAGCCAACTTAAGTAAAATTCATTGAAAACAGAAGAATATGCCCAAAAAGTCTTGATATTGTAGCCCAAGCTTTCCCATTGCCAATTATTTGCATTCAAGGTACCAGCACGCGTCTTTAGACCTATTTATATTCAATTTACCGTGAATAATAGGCTATAAAATGACTTTTTATAAAAAATGACTTTTTTTTTACACGAGCATGCTTCAGTACATCAGGATAAATTCCAGTAGACATACACAAATTAAAGATATGAGCTAAAGCAGGCGCTATAATATCGGGAACCTCGCACAATACTCGAGCTGAATTTCTTCAACGTGAAGCCTCTTGCCTTTGCACAATCGTAGCTCTTTATCTCAGATGAAGAAGTAGGAGATAGGTAGCATGACGCGTTACAGAACGGAACATCACAAGTCGTATTACCCTGCACCGGACCTAAATCTTTAGTTATGTCATTCGCGACGGAGATAAAATATTCATTGAATTCAATGGTTAGTTCAGAATCAGGCCTTAACTTGTTATTTTTATACTATTCAATCTTTTTGCGCACAAGATTACTTGCAAGAAGAGAATTAACAGTATTCCATAAGGCCCTCGAGTCATTATAGTCTTGCTGGATTTTAGTCGAGCGGTGTTGTTTCTTGACCATTTTCAACAGCACATTCAAGACATTCCAAAATATCGAGTAAGATCCACGACAAATTGCACCAGAACGGAAAGCTTCAGGAGTTTATGCTCCTTCTGGATTAAAGATTTAATTTCAGTGGTAACCCAAGGAGGTCCACGTTTTTCAATCACGACAGACTTTATTGGAAAGGACGAGTTGTAAATTTTGAAAAGTTCATCCAAGCAAGACCGCATGGCAAGGTTAGGGTCATCAATATTAGTTATTGCTAGGGAAGGAAAAAATCTCATATGTCGACAACTCAGTTTCAATACGGAGCTGTCGACAACTCAGTTTCAAAGTAAAAAAATGTCTTCAGATGGTCTGATATGTCACAGTCGATAACCCCTGCTTCTGGATTAGATCCACAAGAGAAGTTGCACCAAATATTGTCAAGCAGTGAATATAATGTAATAGAATTTTCAGGAGGATAATCTGGTAGGTTTGGTTATGACTGGATAAAAATTATAACAAAGAATGACATGAATAAAAGTACTTATATAATTAGTCTGCTTATATCGCAAGTTCACAAGGAATTTAAAAGCAAAGAAAACGCCAAGAAAATTCACCATATCGATATTGAAAACGTTTCGGAGTCCAGCTCCATCATCAGTTCGACTAAACTAAAAATGAATAAACCACGTTTTTCGTTTTAGATGTTGTAAAATATTTTAACTGAAATACAAAAGACCAAGAAAATGAAAGCAAACAGAGATCAGTAGCTGCCGAAAAATTATTTTCTACTTTTGAGTCCACATGAAAAACGTGGTCTTTAAAAATTTTTTTTATACATTTTTTCTCGTGTCAGTGCGACCAGGTCCTTGCGGCCAGGGATTGTTTTCTATCTGTGAAAAATTTGAATGGGCAAAACTACTCAGTTCCGACGGCTTTGATGTAAACAAACATTATATTAAGTCCTCCAAGTGTATGATTAGCCATGAAAGCCTCGTGATGAATCTAGCACTCACCACTGAATAAGAACTTGATTGACTTTATACCTTGTCCTTGAGAGTCCATTGGGCTATTGAAATAAATTTTCTTTCCGGGATCCAAGATGCAGAGTCCTTTGAATTTATTTCTTCCTGATGGCGGTCCGAGGAAGACATTGAATCTGAGTCCAAGGAAAATTGAATCGACCTTTGAGGTCAGAGGCGACTTTAGTAATACTGGCCGTTGGTAGATGGACATCGTAGCACGGAAGTATCGGGGGCGTTGGAAATTCTGACGCTACCGAGATTCGGTGGCATTGATCCTTTTCACCACTAAAACATTTTTCGTACAGCCGGAGAAGCAATTGGAGAAGCAATGGAGAAGCAATCAGCTGGAGCTGGAGAACAATCTCCAATCAGCTGGAGAACGTACAGCTGGAGAAGCAATCAACCAACAAAATGTGACTTTTCTTCGACGCTGTTCGAGTGCGCGCAATGAGAGAAAGGCTCTTCTACGGGCAAAGCTACACACATAATACGCTTTTCATGAAATTTGGAACATTTTTCGTGGGTTTTTGCTCCGGGAGAAGATTGCGTGGAATGACAGGCATGAAGTGAGTTGCCAGGGCAAAAAAATATTTCACTCCTAAAAATGACTCTCATCCTGCTTTCTATTTCTCATCCTTGAAAAAAATTTACTTATTTTAATTAAATTCTTCTTGTTGTTCTTTATATTTGATATGATTTCGCTGACCATGGTGTTTGGAAGACTCTATTTATTTTATAAACCGAATTGTGCACATAGTTCATATTAATGCAAAATTGATTGAAGACCAAGGAATGCCTTCTATTACCAATAAGAATAAATAATCAATTCATTGAGGAAACGAACAATGAAACTGTCAAAAATGGTCAAATTGACAGAAAAAATTCAGCATGAAACGGTAAATATTATCCTCTCGTGGACTTAAATGCAATTTAATTCCAATCACCATCAATATAGGTATAAATTTTACTGCTACTAATTTCAAACTTCCTAACACGTGGTCACTCTAACTAGATGCGGTCGATCGTTAAGCCTTTAGATACAAATTCAAAGCATTGGTCAAATTATCTGCTGCATACAGGGATATTAATTTTGCTCAATACCGCGTTTTATATTTTCCGTTTCTGCGCACTGTTACAAAAATGATTTTTCGTATTCATGATGTTTGATCGACATGCACCGATAATAATTCACTCGACATTAAATCTCTGTCTCGAATGCAACAAG